TCATTTACATTCACTTGTAGCAATTACTTGAGAATTTGAATTTTGTCGTGTTTGGGTTTGTTCATTCCTGTGAATGATGGTACAGTTAGGTGAGATTTTCTGTTATGGTACCCAAACTCACCATTTGGTCCTCTTTAATCTTTGAGGGTTTCAATAAAAATTGTTCACTCATATCTGTGTTCTTTCCATTTTATCTTTATAAATATGTGTTGCCTTCTTAAAAAGAAAACAATTTTGCCTACTCTAGTATGAATTTCTCTATTGATATATCCTTCAAGTACAGATAGATTATGTCATTCATTTTAGTTGGCTATTTAGATTAAGTGGGAAAATGAAGCTAAGATAGCATTTCATCCTAATCTTTGTCTACTCCTATTCAGTTACATGTTCTTAATAAAACAACAACAATAAAAACCTTAGAGCAATACACTGTTAGAAAATTATTTCTTGGGACCAAGAGTAGGAGATTATAGTTATTAGACAGCTGGTGCTACTTTTTCCTTCATCTCCATAAAAATAAATGGGTCTTCTCTCTTTTGTTCTAATTCTCTATTTTTTCTGATGGAGGAATTAAAGAATTTAGATTTGTATTATCAAAACCAGCTGTAATCAAACAACACTGCTGACTTTGACTAGGRCACAAAGAAATACCCCATGTGCCTCCACAATGCAGCATAATCAGAAWTTTTTTTACTGGTTATCTCCCTGAAGGGAAAATTTACATTTCATTAGCATACTTAGGAATTGAGGCCAGGTATTCATAGTTAGGACCTCAATTCTTATTATTGCTTTATGATAGTGGATTTCTTATTCTAGTCTAGAAACTAAATACTCTTCCAGTCAGATGTTTAGTGACCTATTCAACATTATCTATGCTTTCTTATAATGCATAATCTTGATATGTGTTGTTTATTCACATGATATAGTAATTATTTTGTCACATGTGCATAGTAGTGGCAGCTTACAAATAGTGCACCAAATATATATGCACCCTGTGATTTTAGTTATCTGTATAACATTGACTAATGAAAAATGTTTTCATAAACATTTACATGCAAGGAAGATAGAAGAGTTTACAGAATTGATTGTTTCCCCACCCCTTCCTATCACCCCCACTTGTCTCTTCACAGAGCATAAAAGTTTTTTTAGATTATTAAAATGTTATTTTGAAATGTAAGGTTTCCCCCCCTTTCTTGAGGAGCAAACACAGGATTTCATGCATGCTTAGTGTTTGTTCCTTTGAAAGTAAGTTTGGAAATCAATTTTGAGTTTTAGCAATCTTTGAAGTAGAATGTGTGTCCCAAAGAAATCCCAAGTTTTTTCTTCTGCCATTTCATATTATCATGTTTTTAAAATAGGCTTTATTTTTTTAGAATAGTTTTACAGAAAAGTTGGAAAGATTTAAACTCCCCATATTCTTTAATTTTTTTTTTTTTTTTTTTTTAGTTGTTGGACACATAAAACCTTTATTTTTATGTGGTGCTGAGGATTGAATCCGTGTCTCATACATGCTAGGCTAGAACTCTACCACTGAGCTACAACCCCAGCCAAAGCTCTCCTTATTCATAATATCTCATACCAATATTGATTCCTTATCAGTAACTAAAATGCGTATTTTTAGATTTTTTTTCTGTTTTACCTAATATCTTTTTCTGGTCCAGCATCCAATCAAGGATACCTTATCACTTTCAGTTGTCATGTCTCCTTGATTTTGTCTTGGTTTTAATGGTTTCTTGCACTTGTTTTTGATGAGGTGTATGGTCAAATACTTAAAAGAATGCTCCTCCTTTGGTATTTGGCTTGTGTTAATCTTAAACTTAGATGGGTTATAAGCTTTAGAGAGAAAGACCACATAACCCATTTTTATCATGTATTAAAGAGACAACTACCAACATTGTCTGGCCATTGATACTACCTTGAGCCTCTTTGAGGTAATGTTTGCCAGCTTCCTTCATTGTAAAGTTTCTGTCCTCCGTATTCTTCACAGCCCATGTTTGAGTAGGGAATAA